ATACTTGTTTTATAAATTAACGTATATGCTTAAATTAATTTAGAATTATTGTGATCTCATCTTGTAGTGCATAATTTGTGTTTAAGCAATCAAATTTGATTGCTGGAATTCGTCATTCTTCAACTGATTTAGAATTTTAAACAAATTGACATGAATGGTGCAATAATTTGACAGAGTAGGATTGTTTAGTTTTAATTAATTCAAATATTTCACAGTCATCGTACGTAAATAAAATATTTAAGTAGTAAATATTACAAAAATTATTTTATTTTTAAACAATATAGAGAATCAGATAAGTGATAATAATAACATTATATAAAGTTATTGAAATCTATAATAAATATATTAAAAATTAATAATTATTTAATAAATAGTTTCTATTAATCAAAATGTTTGATAATTAACGCCTTATTAATGAACAATATGAATAAAAATGATTTAAAAATAAAATTAATAATTATTTAAAAATTAATTTTAAATAATTTTTAAATAATAATTAACTTAACATTTAAAAAATGTTTAAAAATTTATTAATTAAATTAAAAATAAAATTAATAATTATTTAATAATTAATAATTATAAAGGTTGTATAACTTTTATTACTAGAGTTACCAATGCTCGAAATTTAATAATATCAAGAGTTATTTTTTTAATATTATAATATAAAAGATTTTTTATAATTTGCAACACATCAAATTTATATGAAATGATTTTAAAAATGTGAATTGAAGGAATTTTTATTTACTTATTTACTTATTTAAATAATATTTAAAGATGCAAAGTGAATTGTTGTTTATTTTTAAATTATGTGTAATGAAGAATTATTAACAATAATTTATTTGGATAAATTCGTTCTTATCTATCAATCAATATATGATATTAAAAATTTATAATATCTACTCATTTGACTATACTTAGCAATGTATATACTTTAAATCAAGATTATTTATGAATTATGGGACTATATATATAGTCGTTACATATATTCCGATAAAAGATTTATATCCCCGTATGTTTCATTTAGTATATAAGATCCTAAGGCGGTATTTCAATATTAAAAATTCAATAGGAACAAAATGGCTTCTCCATTGCGTAATTTATTTAAAAAACCACAGTTTTGTTTGCTTATTAATATAGGTATATATTTATTATATAGATAGAATGTGATATATTATTGCTTAAATTGATTATCATTTAAGCTGAAGATCACAAGTAAATAAAAAGAAACAAAGCAAAATCAATGATGCAATGATACTTACAGTCTCATTAGAGTCTCAAAAAATTATTTACGAATAATTAAATATTAGAGTTAGTTCCGAAAAGTCTATTGATGATAGGAATTTGGCAATAATCGAATCAGCTGGTATGGTTAGTCAAAAATTCAATTAATTAAAAATAAATATATACTTTTGTTGTTGTATTTCAACACTATTCGACACCTCTCTATTAAATATAATAGTTTCTATTAAGTAAAATAGTTACTGATAATATTACTGATGTTAAAATCAGTTTAGTGTAAATTATTTTTGGAATATATTCCAAACATGAATGACATTCGAACTATCTAGAACGAAAAACAATATAATTTAAAAATATTATTGGTCTACAGCGGAGCATAACAATGTGACTATGAATTCACCTACCTAATATATCGTTTTTAATAGAAAATATATTTTTGATAAATTTCAGATTTTTATAATTATATTAACCAATTCCTTTAAAAAGTATTTTACTGTACTATCCAATATAACATATCCAATATAAGATACTATATCAATTATTAAAGCAAACAAGACATTTCTACAGTTAAAAGTTATTCAAATTTTAAATTCTGAAGCGTTGTTTTGATAGCCGGGTATCGTATCAAGAACACCTGCTGTAAAATTTATTAAAAGTAGACAATAAACTGGAAATGCAATCTATTCCAAGCTACATATGTGTAAGATATACCGATGTATTATAGTAAACAATGGTTTCATATACCATCAGTATAACAAAGTTTACATATACAATAATTAATTTAAAATATATAACTATTTACTATAAAAGGACGCACCTAAAAATTTTCAACAAGAAACAAATAAATAATTATTAAACAAAAAATAAACTAAAATATTTTATTTAAAAAAAATTAATTTTATATATTTGTAACTGCTTTTTTTTGCAAAAATAATTCGGTTAACCATTAACATAAATTCCAATGTTTGACCGTGAATTTTCGTTTTTGTTTTGATCGTTGTAACCGGTCTTTTACGTTAAAATGTATCTTTTTTATACTTGTTTTACTCCTTGTCTGGTTAAAAATACTTACACTAATACATATAAAAATGAAGATTTGTGAAGGTCCGTAGTTGGTTAAAGCAACTTCCTTAAATATATTGCAAATTGAATGATTTCTATAATTAAACATAAAGGCAAACAATTCTATTTGTAAAGTATTACTTTAAAAGAAAACAGAAAAAATTGTATATATTAAATAAAAATATTTTCAGATAATAGGTCTTACGGTTTTATGATGCATTTTATGATACCATTTATAAAATTCTTTATTTCAAAATTTTTATATATATTGGTTGTAAATGATAATAAATAGCATAAAAGTTTTCTAGTTCAATTAGACTTTAAATAATTGTTTTAATGCCCACATATTTTTAATAATAATTCTGTTTCTTGACGGGCTAATTGGTCAGTAGTTAAATAATACCCTTTCTTAAAAAATTGCCTTTGGTTTTTAAAAAATATTATTTATACTGATATTTCGACTGTAATCTATGGGCATCATCAGGGTACTATATATAACGTAACAATATTTTAGTATATATCAGAAAAAAACAACTATAGAATACATTAATATTAAAACATAAAAAATACATATATAGAATAAAATACATATATAAACAAATAATATATTTATCCGTTTTTTAATTTAGTCTGGTGTCACTAGGAGTTTGTAGGATATAGAGCATTGTCAAGAAAAAACATTTTTGTTGATTATTTTCTTGGTGTAACATCTTTACGTTATCAAGGTCCGGATTATGCTTTGATGTAATACAGTGTGAAGCTAGTGCTGTTTTTGAATCAATATTATTTTTATACTTAACGCTTTGTTTATGTTCGTCAAACTGACCAATTAGCCCGTTTAAAAATAAAATTATTATTAAATTTTAATTAAAAAATAATTGTAATAATTGTCGTCACCATTATCAATTGTTCAAGAATTCAATTGGAATCTTGGGCTCCCCTAATTTATGCCTCTAGATGCTAATGCTGTCTTTGACTTTGAATATCTAACTTAATGCTGTTAAATTATCTCTTTTTTGGGTTCGACGAAGTGCGGGTTCAATTTTTTTGCTGGATTTGCATCATTATTTATAGCAGCCCTCTATTTCGCTGCAAGTTTTATGATAATATATTTTTTAGGTGATATCGTGTAAATATATATCTCGTACAATTCTATCAATCTAGTATCCGTCGCTATTCCATAACACTTTTGTTTTTGTTGCATTGCAATAAATCTGCAACTTATAGTCTTATTTCAATATATATCCCTACTCTGTACTTTAGACATTGAAAATATGAAATTGAGTACTTTTGCGGAAGTCTCTGTTGTTAGAAGCGTTTGTAAATTCAATAGAGCCTAGACAGTTAGAGAGTTATAGAAATTTTGCATAAAAAGTTAAGTATAAGAAAGGTGCACGAAAACGGGCTTTTACGACTACTTCAAACAGAGCCGTATAATAGCTTATGTTTATAATATTTAATAATGTTGCTTAAATTGATCATTGTAGTAGCAGTATTATGTCTAAGTACAAGGTTAAACCTAAAAATAAGTTTTATTTTTTAGATTATTTCTAAGAAATAAGGATTACTCAATAAGAAAAAATTTTAAACAGTTTTATATTTTTATGGGGGCCAAAAATTTTCGAATATTAAACATATCAAATAACTGAAATTTAGATTTATTTATTAATCTAATTTATTAAATAAATATTATATCAGCTGATTCTAGTCCTGAACCTTATATAGTTTTATATGAATAGAAAACCAGAAATATTATGTTACGACGAATTTTCTATACAACGCAAAGAAATAAGTGAAATCTTTTAAAAGACTTGTTAATAATATTAAGGATATTTCTTAAATCATTTTTTTTTGTTTTTCATTAGAGGTGGAATCTTTTAAAAATGCTTTAAAAGCATGCTCGATTCATACTGTTCGGTACCACCTATCTCGGGTTTACGCAGGTACGATTGTTCTTGCATATGCTAAAGTTGCGAACAGTACGCTTATGGACTTAATCTTAATCTCTATAATTAAAGTTGCCCTTTAGAAAATATCCCGCGGGACTGCCAACTTCGCGAGGAGAGGGCGAGCCCCAAAGATCTATTTCTCAACTATCTTTTACTCTCCTTCGTCGCAGTTGTTGCATGATTGCTGTAATAATGTGGTTAACTTTTTCCCAAGAATCTCTTCATTGATATCCATTATCTGTTTTTATTAAACTAACAATTTATTTCAATAGTTGATTCATAATAAATATAAAAAAATTAGAAAAATTTTAAAGCACTCATAGTTGTTTGTTATATGACCCACATCTCAAAAATATTGTCCTCGGTTGATCATTAAAGCAGAGTGAATACTAGGTGCTAATTTAATTACTTATGAAATATTGCAAATATTACAAAGCTACAATGAGTACGAAATGACGTTAGAATCAATTAGAATAAATACTCAATATATATTGATAGGAGCAAATATTTGTTCTATGTTAATAGTCGATTGGTAAATAGCTTGGAGCACATAACTTCAAAATAATAACAATAATCGTGAAGAGGTATATGACAAAGCAAACAAAGTAAAATATGAAAGGCAGAAGATTAAAGTAGCAAATTATATATTTAAACAAAATATTAGCAAAGTTTGACTCATAATAAATAACATAATTTTAGTGATATTTTTCAACTTTTGCTTTTATTTATTTTAGTTGAACTGAAAGTAAAATGGATACTAAATCTAGAGCCCACATAATTGCCAACTGTTTTTTCATCCAATTGTGTTTATCATGCGTATTCGTCAATGCTCAGGTATTAGTAGAATTGGCAAGGAATTTTGAAACTACTGTACTTAATAGTAAATTACCAGACACCTTAGTTTTTGCCACAGAGTACGATTTTATAGTTGTGGGAGCAGGTTCCGGTGGATGTGTTGTAGCCAATCGCTTAAGTGAGCTTGCGAATAACTCGGTGCTGCTACTAGAAGCTGGTGATCAGGAAACTTTCCTTTCGGATGTACCATTGACAGCGGCATTAACTCAAATGACACGGTACAATTGGGGCTATAAGTCTGAGAGGACACCAAATGCTTGTCAAGGTTTAAAAGGGGGTGTTTGTAATTGGCCTAAAGGACGTGGGATTGGAGGAACTAGTTTAATAAATTTTATGCTATATACACGCGGGCATCGCAAGGACTATGATTATTGGGCTTCGTTAGGCAATACGGGTTGGAGCTATAAAGAAGTTTTACCGTATTTCAAAAAATCAGAAAATATTGAAATAGCAGAATTGCTTAAATCAGATTATCATGGCCGTTTTGGACCTTTGAATGTTGGCTATACAGATTATAAATCGAAAATTTTAAAAGCATTTTTAAAGTCAAGCAAGGAAATGGGTTACGATATAATAGATCCAAATGGTGAACACATGTTAGGTTTTAGCCGTTCACAAGCTACAATTAGACATGGCAGACGTTGTAGTACTAGTAAAGCATTTATACGACCTATTATTGAACGCGAAAATTTGCACATATCTATGAAATCTTGGGTAACAAAAGTCATAGTTGATCCTGAATCCAAAAGAGCTGTTGGAGTGGAATTTACAAAAAATAGAAAAAAATACATTGTTAAAGCGAGAAAGGAAGTCATACTATCAGCTGGTTCCATAGCTTCACCGCAACTACTTATGTTGTCTGGTATCGGTCCGCAAGATAATCTACAAGAATTTGATATACCTGTAATGAAAGATCTGAAAGTTGGCTATAATTTGCAAGATCATGTAACTTTAAATGGATTAGTTTTTATTGTAAATGATACTACAATTAATGATCATAAAATTATGAATCCAGCAGATATTTTGCAATATATACTTGAAGGTAAAGGACCCTATACAATACCCGGTGGTGCAGAAGCATTTGCTTTCGTCAGAACTCCTAACTCCACTTTTGGTAAAATTTATTATTAAATATAAAAGATAAAAATATATTCACTTTTATTAATTATTGTAGATAAAGATTATGCTGATATGGAAATTGTATTGGGTGCTGGATCATTAAGTGGTGATCATCTGGGCTCTATGCGCGATTTATTGGGAATAACTGATGAATTCTACCACAGTGTGTTTGATGGTATACATAATAAGGTATTTACTTTATACTATTTCGATTGATAAAAAACACTATTTTGTACATAATTTAATTTAATTTGTTAGGAGACATTTGGTTTAGTACCAGTGCTGCTTCGTCCTAAAAGTAGAGGACGCATATCACTGCGTAGCCGGAACCCTTTCCATTGGCCTAAAATGGAGCCAAATTATATGCAGAATGCTGATGATATCAGAGCAATGGTAGAAGGTGTACAAATGGTGAATATGTTTTGCATTCTCTATATATTCGAAATTTTGCACGCTCTATTTTTTTTTCAGATATTACAAATTGTTGAAACTAAGGCTTTAAAAAAATTGGGCACCAAGTTTCATGCTAAACCATTCCTCGGATGCGAGGGTTACACTTTTAACTCCTATGAATATTGGAAATGCTGCTTAAGACTTTACGGCTCAAGTTTACAGCATCAAGCGGGCACTTGTAAAATGGGTCCTTCATCTGATGCAACTGCAGTTGTGGATTCAAAACTGCGTGTGCATGGTATAAGTAACTTACGTGTTGTGGATGCTTCGATAATGCCCACAATTCCTGCTGGTCACACGAATGCTATTGTCATAATGATAGCTGAGAAAGCTTCGGATATGATTAAAAATGCTTGGAATTAAGCAGATTTTTTATAATATTTTCAGTATAGAAATTATGATGTTTAATTTTCTCATTTTATGTGATAATTATTTAAAGTATGTATATTATTATTATTAAAACTATGTATAGTATATTTATATTGAAGAATTACATTTATATGTAAATTATGTGATTTAAAAAAGTTAAGAAAAAAAAGAGTTTAAGAAAGTAACTATTTGCTTTTTATTAAACTTTAGAAAAGTTAATGTTATAAATAATGTTGTATTGTTGGAAATAATAAACTAAATCATAAGAAAGATTAACAATACTCTTTGGTTTATGTTAACATATTAAAATATCAAAAAAATATTAGGTTTTTAGGACCAATATGCATATAATTTTTTAGGCTGCTAGATTCCCTCTATAATTATTCTATTTGAGTATCTTTAAGATTTATTTATCAATTGTTTCAAACTGTCAGAACTGTTTTATAATATTATCCTACTATAATTGTTGAAAGCAAAACATCAAATTTTTATAATTTCAAATCAATTGGCAAAGTTTTAAATAATTTACTAAGATTAAAAATATAAATGTTAAAATATTTTAATATGTAAAATTATTTTATAAATATATTTTATATATTATTTTGAAATGAAAGTAATACAAATCAACCTACATAATTAAAAACACGGTATTTAAAAAAAAAAAAAATACATGTAATGAAATATAAATAAAAACATAAATTTGGTTTTTTTTAAAAGTTTCATAAACAAAACAAAATAAAATACCACAATAATAAAATGGTTTGTATGAGACTAAATAAATTATAACTAACTTGTGTTAGTTATTCTCTATTTTGAAGAGGTTAACTTCTTCTTGTTATTTATTATAATTTTTAATAATAAATTAGTTAGTTTACTAATTATATTATAAGCATTTTTTTAATATTTGTGATTTATATATAATGTATATATAACAATATTATAAATATTATATTTTATAATATTATATTTTATATTTTTTTTGCAGTATTTAATATCATTACAAAATCTTCCAAATAATAAATATGAAATCGTAATAATGTTTCTTATTATATTTATTATTTTAGTTTAATATTAATATTATTTTATATTATTATAGAAAGATTCAAGCATTCAAGTAAAATGCAGCCATGCAATTATTATTTACTGTTATTATAACAGATATGTCTAAACATATCTAAAGACCCTTAACTAAACAGTTGACATTGAACTCTGTAAGGTGTTGTATGTTGTGCATAAGCAATATAAGCTTCGTTGAGTTGTCATATTTTAATTATCATACCCGTTATTAAGGTAATATTTAGATTAAATAAATTGTTATTAAAAATCGTATAATCTGCATGTGTGAGAAAAGACACCATTAAGCAGCAACAAATTTTAATTAAAGTTTTTAATTTATATTGTGTCTTTTTTGTTTTTGGTGTACATACATATATTGTTATTTGAATTTCCTATTTAATTTGAATGCGGTAAAAAATATGCGTTGTTATTATTTCGAGTTTGTAAAATATGTACTTTATTTCGAGAATTTATTACCGGGTTTAATATTGTTTATAATTTCTCATAAATGAGTAAAACAAAAAATAATAAATCTTATTTTTATGTTAAGCAATCAACAATTTAATTTTTTTGAATAACCGTAATGAAAATACTTACAGGTGTGCATATATGTACACACACTCGTTCATCGGTACATAACAGGGTTGCTTTATATATGAATGTTTCGTATATAATGATCGGTAAGTTCAAATTCTTATTTCAAATTTATTAAAATGATATATTATTAAATACAAATTATTTATATCAAATTTATTAAATTATTTAAAGTATAACTAAACATTTATAAATAGAAAAAAATTTTAAATTTGCAGTTCAGGATATTAAAACGTGTTTTTAATTGGTATTTTCATATTACGCTTGTTCATGTACGCACTTGTAGTAAAAAAATAGTAAAAAGTTACTAGGATTTCATTATTTTGCATTTACGTACGCAAGAAATAGTTAAAATAATAGATTGTGAGAACGAGCTGATATATCGTACTGTATAAAAGTAATTTGAATTTTATTAGTAAATTTGTATTAACACTAGTTTAAAAATTAGGACGACAATAAGAAATGGAAATTTGGAAAAGATTTCCAAATTATTTAAGCCTTCGAATGTTAAGCATAGGTAATGTAATCATTTTTATTTATACTTTGCCTTTAATCTGTTTTTCTCCGAGAGAAATTTATGAGTTTACTGTCAGATTTAATTTTACTATTTTGTTTTTTCTAAATAACGTAAAACAAAGACATTATCTAATAGTGTACATAGAAACTATGTTAAAAAATTAAAGATCTTATAAATTCCTGCACCAAATTAAAATGGCAGGAGTTATGCTATTTATGCTAGTGAAATTTTACTAAATTTAACTTTAGGTATTTATATTTATATATTTAGCTCCAACTACATTTTTAACTATAAAACTAATTCATAAATTTTATTATAATTCTTTGTTCAATTAATGAATATATTTTTACTTTTTAATTCGTTCCTGACATATTTAATCCGATTGTTGCTCTCTCTTGTTTCTATGATAACATTTAGTGTTAATCTATTTGAAACACTATTAGTATTTATTGGCGTCTTATATAGTTCTTCTAATTTGAATATCGTTAAGGTGGTTTGTCTAAATATGTTACAAATAACAAGTTAAGAAATGTTGTAAAATATAATGATAAGTAACGTCGGTTTAAGCACATAAGTAGAAGTACATTATATATTTGGAATATTAGTGTCTATGACGGGCAAAGGATCAATCATGCTCCAGTAATAGTCCGCAAAAGAAAGTAAAATCGTCCCTAAGACAAGTATTTTTTGTAAACATATTATATTCATATATATTTTTAGGTTAGTGACTATCAGCCATGGAACTGTCGGCGTTGTGGTTTATGGGGGTTAGAATTACATTCAATAGAAAGTCCATCTCAAATATTATATATTTAAGAAAAGATTTCATTTGAATATCTCTTCTGGTTCAGAAAATATGTAACTAAAGCTCGTTTAATTTTAATTCTGTCACATTTTGGACGTCACTGTGATTTTTGACATATGAAATTTTAATGAAACCCTTTCGGTATATAATAATAAATTATAGTCTACTTTCAGGCGTCATATATATTATTTTTATAAAGTATGCAACAAATCAAAGAAATTGAATAATTACAAATGCCTCGTTCACAATGCAAAATAGAAGCCTAAAATTTTATGAAGAACACAAAACAACGAACAACTCTCAAAAATTTTACTAATATCATCTTAAATCAAAGAATTGTTTTCAATTTCTCCTTCTTTAAATAGACATAGACATAGATTAATATTAAAAATATGTATATGTCACAGTATTTTATCCATAATTGTTATATACAACATTTTAAAATTATTATAAAATTAAATATATTATTTTAAAAACTAATAAAGTTATTGGACTTTAAATTATCCCTAAAATTAATAAAGCTATTTATTCTTATTTTCTCAGTAAAAAATTTTGAATTACTTGAAGAAGAAATTCCTAATGTATTTCTCGAACAATAATTTCATTCAATTCTATTTTTCAGTAATTTTATTGAATTAACTTATCTTGCACCAGTTTCCAGATCGTACATGCGGTCATTTACTACATTTAAGTTAATACCCTGACTACATTGTAAAATAAGACCCTTGGGATCGAATTCCATTTTAGATGGTGTTTGATCGCAAGGTTCAACAAAATGATTTTTCAAAAAGTGTACCAAACCAAGTTTAGTTTGAAGTAATCCTAAGCGACTTCCTATACAATTATGTGGTCCATTTCCAAATGGCAAATATGTCATGGGAATGTGACTCTTTTTATTTTCTGATGAAAACCGTTCTGGATCAAAAACATCTGGGTTCGGCCAATACTGAAATTAAAATAATATGATATCAAAAACTTTATAATATGATAATAATATTTAAAATACCTTTGGATCATGTTGTATTGCATATACTGGGATGTATACTGGCATACCATTTGGTAATGCGAAACTGTGATGTGGTTGAAGAGTGAAGTCTGACTCGTCTTTAGTTTTACTAAATTCGCGATCTAAAAATGGTACAACAGGATACATACGTAAAATCTCATCAACAACCATTCCCAAATACTTAAGGCTTTGAATATTTTCATAAGATATTTTTCCGTTTTCAGCAATAAGGGCCTCGCAAATTTCTGTTCGTAAACGTTTTTGTAATTCTGGCTTTTTCGACAATTCATAAAGTGTAAAAGCCATTGTTGAAGATGATGTCTCAAATCCTGCAGTTAAAAATACAGCAGCTTGAGCCACTAGGTATTCATTATTGTTAGCTCTATATAGGCTTTTAACATCGGGAGCTTCTTTTCTTAAGGATACAAAAATATCAATAAGATCATTACGAATGGTTTCACTGCTTTCACGTTCCGATATTACATAATTAATAGTTTTACGCAAGAAATTTGAAAACTCTTGAGAGAATAATTTTACACGGAAAAACTTAACTAATTTCGGCATATAGAAAATAATTAGAAAGTGGAAAGCGCGAATCAACTCAAATTTAAGCAGTTTGCGCCCATATTCACGGAATTCAGCATTTGGATTTTTAAGGCTATTAGCACGTAAACCAAATGCTATAGAAGCTATTAGATCTGTAGTGAAGAGAGCACAAATTTCCTTAACTTCAGTAACAAAGGAATTATTGGTTTTCTTATAAGATGCCAAATGATTTTCCAATTCTTTTGCAATCTTTTTGGAAAAAATAAATTAAAAATCGTTATATGTTTATTAAATAATGCATAAGTTCAATATTTACATCAAGCATGAGTGGATACATCTGTTTTATTTTACCACTTGTAAAAACTGGTGATAGTTTTGTTCTGGTTTCTTTCCATTCTGGATTTCTAACGAAAAATAAATTATTTGCTCCCAACGGATCACCATGTGGATCACATGCTGATGTACGGTTTGAAAACTTGTTGAAATCTTTGATCAAAATTGATTTTATTAATTCAATATC